TTTAATTACTTTTAGACCCTATAAGGTTATTAATTTCATTAAATACCCCCTAAAAAAAAGTTTAAAATTAGTAAAAACACTCCCGCGACCCATACTTGTCAGATTCTGGAAACCACCGTCGGTGGTAGCCAGAATCTGTACAACGGCCTGCCTGCCGACTAGAAATGATTGAATTGTAAAATATTATTTAAGTTTTATGAGATTGAATTTAACTGTATATGAGTATGGTCTTTGATAAAATTAATGTCAGAAAATCTTGATTAGAGAAGAGAATAATGATTCTGCATGTTTGGCTTAGTATTTTTATCCATATTTTGGATCCTATTCTCCAAATAATGTTTCACACATTATTCTAGAAATATTACCCTATTTTTTAATAACTTTTAGACCCCATAAGGTTATTAATTTCACTAAATACCCCCTGAAAAAAAAAGTTTAAAAATTAACAAAAACACCCCTATCAACCCAACTTGTCAGATTCCGGCAACCACCGTCGGTGATAGCCGGAATCTGTACAATGGCCTAACTTCCGACCAGAAATGGCCAGAAGTTCACCGATGTGGCCTTTTCCGACCAGATCCACCACGGATCTGGCCGGAAAGGCCAGATCTGGCCATCAGCGACGGCCAAAGAAATGGCCGTCCTTGACGGTCAACGATGGCCAAAGATGGCCGTTGTTTGACCTTTTTCGGCCGTCAACGGCCATAACAGACAGTAGATCTGGTCGGAAAAGGCCATAACGACGTGTTACGGCACAGATCCGACCAGTCTGTGCCGTAACGAAATTTTTCGGCCAGATTCCAACGGTGGTGGTCGGAATCTGGCACTGCAGGTGGTGGGGGTGTTTTTGTCATTTTATATGTTAGGGTCTTTAATTAAATTAGTAAACCTAAGGGCTTTTTCACAAATTTTTAAAATTTACCTCGTAATACTCCCCTATCCAATAACCCAATACTATCCCTAAAATCTTATCCAAAATACTAAACCAAACGCACCCGATGTATTAGTCCTTCACTAATCAAGACGTCCTGGTATTAATTTTATCATGATCATGCTTAATTTTATTAAACCATTCAACTTTCANAAAAGAACTGTTTCTTTGGGAGATAATAGCTTTGATTTCAGAATTTTCTTAAGTTTGAGTATGAAAAAGAAATGAAATGCTAAAATTTTGTGTTGAGGTCTTCTGCATGTTCATGTTTTCTTCATTAGTTGTTACAATTAAGGTGGTTATAATGAAGTTAGGGGCATTCACTTTCTAGAATGATGCCAAAACTTTACATATAATAAACTATATGAGAAAATAGATGGTTCTTTTGTTGTCTCTTGATATGTATTATATTTCTGTGTCTGCATATACAAGTATTGACTCATTCATTTGTTAATAATTTAATATATGTTAATCTTTTCAGAGGTTTATTCCTTCGGAATTTGGAGCGGATCCAGACAAAACTCGAATTTCCGGCATGGACAACAACTTCTATTCACGTCGATCTGAGATTCGACGTCTCATAGAAGCTGAAGGCATTCCCTACACTTATATTTGCTGCAATCTATTCATGACCTATTTACTTCCATGCCTTGTCCAGCCAGGTCTAAAGACTCCTCCAAGGGACAAGGTTACAATTTTCGGGGATGGAAATACAAAAGGTTTGCTGATTAAGATTTGACTGAACTCCTTGATATTGATTTACCGGGAAAGTTAGTTTGTTACATTTTGAGTAAGTAGTGGGTATGGTAAATTTTTTTGACTCTTCTTGTCATTTCTGTGCAGGTGTTTTTGTGAAGGACGTTGATGTTGCCGCTTTCACAATTAGTGCACTGGATGATCCACATACATTGAATAAGGTATTATATCTCAGGCCGGTGGGAAACGTTTACTCTATGAATGAGCTTGTGGAGACTTGGGAGAGTAAGATTGGGAAGAAACTCGAAAAGGTTTATGTACCAGGAGAAGAACTTCTTAAGAAAATTGAAGGTATTTTGACTATATTATGTAGGATTACTGTACAGGATACTCTTTTATTGGTGAGTAAACAGAAATTTACCTACCAAGGTATTTAGAAACCATCTTGAAATCAATTGGGAATTTTGTGCATGACAATATGATGCTTAAATTAAACCACTTAACCAAAATGTCAATCAGAATCTAGGTACAAATTATAAGCAATTTCTTTCTTTACAGAACTGGTCACAAGTTGAGGCAAATATAACAGATTCATTACTTTATGTTGTAAGTATTTCTAGTTATTATCGTGGTAACTTAGAGAGAATTCCAAGGGAACAGAAAACTAAAGTGCAATATTTAAGAAGTTCATCTCTTGCACCTTTGTGATACTCTCTAGGGCAGGGGATTAAATGTGATATGTAATAAGAAGGCCGTATAACAATGAGAAACTAGAAAAAAGTGCTTTTGCTGTCTTTCTATAGAATGCATGATGGGTGTATTTTCTCCTTTGTTTTCTTCTTTGAGACGATACCAAGAATGTGCTGCTCATTGCATTGCAGAGACTCCATATCCAGACAACATGGAGCTGATTTTCATATATTCTATCTTTGTAAAGGGAGACCACACATACTTTGATATTGAATCTTCTGGGGGAGTGGATGGGACACAGCTCTATCCACACTTGAAATACACCACAATCAGTTAGCATTTAGACACCCTATTGTGAGACTATTATTTACTTGCTTTACAACGAACTCTAACCATTTTTCTGAGTTGCTGTTTCTAATGATTTATTAAAGATGACTGAATGGACTTATTTGTTCCATTGATAAGATCCAGAACAAAGGTATGATACAGAACATGCACCAAGAGCTCCTACATTACTGGTCCCAGTGCTTGAGGTTCAACAACACAGAACATGGAAAAAAAAGTCCCCTGCTTGGTGTTTTATTTTCAAATTTTGTGTCTGAAGTCTAAACTTTTTGCTTTACAAAGAATTCTATCCATTTTTCTGAGTTGCTGCTTTTAATGATTCATTGAACATGACTAATGGATTCATTTGTTCCATTGATAAGATCCAGAACAAATGTATGATACAGAACATGCACCAAGAGCTCCTGCATTACTGGTCCTAGTGCTTGAGGTTCAACAACACAGAACATGGGAAAAAAAGTCCCCTGCTTGGTGTTTTATATTCAAATTTTGTGTCTGAAGTCTAAACTTTTTGCTTTACAAAGAATTCTATCCATTTTTCTGAGTTGCTGCTTTTAATGATTCATTGAACATGACTGAGTGGACTCATTTGTTCCATTGATAAGATCCAGAACAAAGGTATCATACAGAACATGCACCAAGAGCTCCTACATTACTGGTCCTAGTGCTTGAGGTTCAACAACACAGAACATGGGAAAAAAAAGGTCCCCTGCTTGGGGTTTTATATTCAAATTTTGTGTCTATAAACTTTTCCTGGTTGTAGCGCTAAATCATAACAGTGTGTTCATAGAGCGCGATACAAGTTCTTGTCTAGTTCCTTTGCCTGTAGTCTTTCTAATGTTTTCAGTTTTGCAGTTGCTGTTAATCTAACCATTGTCATTGCATTAATCTGTCTCCCTACCTTAATGGTTTTCGTGGGCATCTATACGTATGCGAAATAATGCATTGAGGGCCAACTACAGACCTGACTGATCCGGTTCCCGGCTTCCTCCCTCCAGCTCACAGGCATAGAACAGGGTGATGAAATGAAACCCAAGAAATTTTCATGTTATATAGTTCTTTGTTGATGCTGATGGTTGTTAGAAATGGTAAATGGTTGTAGCCACAGAGAAAAATCAGAGAGTCAGGTCTTCGAAAGAAAAACATTTTTCAATATTAAAGATCGATAATGATTCTAAAGACTGTCTCAATTTCCATGGCATGAAATAATTGCTGCTGAACTGAAAAGACCTCCACCTAACTTTTCCAAGAATGACGTGCTTCTTCGTGACCTAGCTGAGTCCACATCCAACTTTGCACCCTCAAAAGCATATAAACAGGAAGAAATGAACCTGGCTCTAATTCCAGACCAAAAGACAGGCACATGATCATGCTGATATCACGCTGAATAAGTAAGAGAATATATACAGTTTCCAATCCAAAATATATATATCATCATTTCTTTTTATGAAAATTCTATTCTATTTTATTTTTAAAGATTTATTAATTTAATTAAAAAAATTAAAAATTGATAAAACCGTCTCCATTCATCCATATTTATTATATTCTGATCACTACGAAGAGAATCAAAATTTGACGTAATAATGCACTATTGATTAGATCTGGTCGCTAGTGTATCAATCTAGTCTTTTTCAATTAGATCTATTGTAGATATGACCTTTTCGATCAAATCTAAAGTCAAAGATCTGGTCATTAATCGTCAATAATGGTTAAGATATTATCATCGTCGATCACATCTTTAGCCATCGCTGACGACTAAACGTGACCAGATCTGGCTATAGATTTGGTATTTTCCTACTAGATCCACGATGGATCTAATAAAAAAAATCATCATATCAATGCACAATCGATCAGTACCATTACGGTGACTGTCAACCACCTTTTAACGATGGTAACCAACTATCGATATTTAATGGATAAATGAGATGTTTTTGTTAATTTTTAATATTTTATTATAAATATATTAAACTAAATTAACAAATCAAGAAATATGATTTCATTAATTTTTAATATTTTATTATAAAAATGTTCAAGTAAATTAACAAAACAACCATATTTTTGTTAATTTTTAAATCCCCCTCCTCTCGTAATAACTACTTTCCTCGAATGTTTTTCAAAAATCCTAGCAAGATAATAAAACAAAAACACTAAAAAAATGAGCAGTCGCACCAGGACACAAAATGAAATGAATCTGGACGCTTTCAGGCGATCATTAAAATTAAGACCTGATTTGGAAACTAATCAAGGGCTAATGTCACTTCGGTAATTACATACTACAGGCAGTACACCATAAATACCCGTCTCACTCGTCTTTCAAGATACAAAAGTTGTCCATTGCTCGGTGAACGGAACAGAAACGAAAGGCTTTCGGAGTTTGAAACGGGCATTTCAGTTATGGCAACGAAGAGCAAGATTCTGTTGATCGGAGGGACTGGATATATCGGAAAATTCATCGTGGAAGCGAGCGCAAAAGCCAGTCATCCGACGTTTGTACTCGTTAGAGAGGCCACTCTTTCTAACCCTGACAAATCCAAGATCATCGAGAATTTCAAGAGCCTCGGCGTCAATTTTATTACCGTACGTAACGCTTTTTATCTTCTTTATATTTCGAGAATTTTGATTTTTCTTTTTGATCCAGTTGAAATATGGAGTTTTGAACTTATGACCTTTGAATTTTGTAAAATATTTTATTATAGTATTTCAATGTGTCTGGAATAATTTTCCATAACTATTTTCTTCACAAAAAATATTTAAGGGAAGCATATGATGAAGAGTTTTGTGACCTTTTTTTTTTTATTGGATGGTGAAGATTCTGTTAGGGTTAGGTTTCGACATGATACTATTTCTATCCTTCTGGTTTGATATGTATTGCTACATAAAAGAAAATAAAAATATTATATGATAAATTAAATAGAGACAAGATAAAGTAAGATCACAGCTGAACAAAATATTTCAATCATCAAATCCAACAAGCTTTTGTACAACTACAAAGCATGGCACTACTAAAATTTCAACAATCAAATGCAACAAGCTTTTGTACAAGTGCAATGAAGCATGCACTTATTTCTGCATTCAGGGGTGAACTAATTATTCAATTTTCCTCCCATTTTTTCCTGTATTGTACACTTAAACAAAGATGTGTCATTAGAAGACGAACATGAGTGAGCAGCTCTCCAACTTTCCTAAGTTGGTAACCATGATCTTTCCAATCACACAGGTTTGCAGCGTACGTCAACATTTCCACCCACACTTCTGTTATCATTTTCCATTTTTTTCCCTCATTTCAACCATCCTCAGATTGAAGCGATTGCAATTGTTTAGCAAGCTAGCATCCCTCCACCAGCACTGACATATCTTCAGATTTTATATTATCGATGTTGTTTTCAAGTAAAATCTTGCAGGAATAAGATGTCTTCTTATCAGAATACGGCAATTTTGACGGTGGTAGAAGGTAAGTCGAAAGGGGATGGTATTGGTGTTGATGTTGGTGGATCCGTGGTGGTTTTTGAAATGGAAAATGCTACAGTTACTGACTGGTGTGAACTGATTTTATGCACCGAATAACGTGGCAAAATCCTGACTATTGATTAATATTAACTAATAATAAATAAACGATCATGATTATGTTACGTCATTCGATGTACAAAATTGATACACAACCGTTGATAACTGTAATATTAATCTTTTAAAATATGAGAGAAAGAGAGAGAATAGATAAAACTTGTTCTTAGATGAAAAGAGAGATGTTTTTGTAAGAGAGGAGAGAGAATATCAGAGAGGAAAGAGGTTTTCATACGTGAAGAGACAGCGTCTGAAAAGAGAAAAGAAAAAGTCAGAAAAGTAAACAAACGCACTCAAGTTTTGGCCTTAAAGACACTCACCTGAAAAGTCATCGTTAAGATTTGTTAATAAAATATGTTGACTGATAGGTTTATATATACAGTATTGAGATTGGAGCTGGTATTCCGGTGCTTGATGTAGTTTCTCTCGTATATGATGAGTGGATTGATTCAGTTATTTAGATTTTTTCTATGTCTTTCCGATGATTGTTTGTTTCAAAATCAGCAGCAATAAATAAATCTCCGCGTGGATAACAAGGGAAGATTAAATTAATTTACGCATTAACTATATATACTGAAGAGCTTAAAATTTGATGATGGATTCTTTTGTTTTTTGAGAGAGAGTGTGAATTGCAACTTTATTATATATGTTGAGACTTGTCACAGTTTAGCTTTAAGGGAGGATGTTAGAAGTTACTGTTAATCTTCCGTTAGTCTTCTGTATAAAATACTGTACACTCATCCCTCTCCCTTAATAAACTGAACTGATATTTTCCAGAAAACTCCAGCTCTTGACTTCTGTATTTTTCTCTGTTTTAGCTGAAAGTCACTATTTTTATACAATTATTTGTTTAATGGGGTCAAGATGTCAGTTCGTGCTTTAACAGCTATGATATTTTGTTATTTTCCTCCTTTTACAAATGCTGGACCTACTTTTCCTTATCCATTCATTAACCATTCCCACTTGTACAAAGCCTAAGTGAGATGTAGACTGCAATTTTGCATCTTTAGTAAACCAAGAAAAAAAAAACAAATACCAAGGAAGTTAATAAAACTGACGACTTTTCAAATAAGTAATTACAGGTTAAAATTGATGACTGATGCTGTTAAGTTTATGTTTAGTCTCCACTGTTTTGTCTTTTGAGAGAGAAAGTGTGTTTTGCAACTTTGTTGTATAATTAACTTTTGAGTGGACTGAGCTTTACACCATCATTGGATTTATCCAATCCCTTGTTGAGACACTAGAGCTTAATTATATTTGTTGTAGTTTGATTATACACCCTCTATTCTAAGTCACTAAAGGTTACTTTAATTTCCAGTCTGTTGAGAAGGAAAGGTCAATGGCATTCATTGACAAATATATTATATTAATTGTATATTTATTTAATTGTCNGTTTGGTTGCCGAGAAATTTCTGCGATGCATCATATGGAAATCGAGATTTTCTTAATGGTTTTTTTCAATGAGTGGCGCGTGGTTTCGGAATTAAGTCTTGGAAAACAGAATCGGAATCTGCTTAATAATTAACAATTAATAAACAAATAATTTACTGTTAAGATGCTAATTTTTTATTGTTTATTTTATATTATTGTATCTGGTTTTATGCAGGGAGATTTATATAATCACGAGAGTTTGGTGAACGCGATTAAGCAAGTGGACGTGGTGATATCGACGGTAGGTCACGCTTTATTAGGTGATCAAGACAAGATTATCGCTGCCATTAAAGAAGCTGGAAACGTCAAGGTAAATTAATCTGTTTTCATTCTATCTGCTTCATCGATCTTTCTTCCATTTCTTAAACTACAGGGTGATGGCTTGTTCGCTTGAAGGTTTGTTTGGTGAGAATGAAAAGGGAGAGAGAATAAATTACAGAGTGCTTTTCAGTAAATTAATCTGTGTTTAAATCTATTTGCTTCATCGATCTTCTTTCCATTTCTTAAACTATATGGTTATATTGATGGCTTATTCGCTTGAACGTTTGTTTGGTAAGAATGAAAAAGAAGAGAAAATAAATTACAGAGTGCTATTCAGTATTATCCATGGCAGAAATTAGCTACAGCATTAGCAACTAATGGGCAGATTTTAGTATTCTTTTTCTTCTCAGTTTTTGTGTGTGAATGTTCAGAACCATAGATATATATACTCAGAATCATGAATATCTTAAAAGCTCTTGATTTAATCTGAATCTTGGATTCATAAGGCTGACTTATGACTAGTAGTATAACTTCATTGGATAAATGCATTTAATTGGAATTTTGTTGAACTCGAAGACTTGGTTAATTCTGAAAAATTGTTATGCTATCCAGAGATTCTTTCCTTCAGAATTTGGCAATGATGTTGATCGTGTTCACGCTGTCGAGCCAGCGAAAACAGCATTTGGGATAAAGGCTAACATCCGCCGCACTGTTGAGAAAGAAGGAATTCCATACACCTATGTAGCAAACAGTTTCTTTTCTGGCTACTTCCTTCCCTCTTTAGCACAGCCTGGAGCCACATCTCCCCCCAGGGATAAAGTGGTCATCTTAGGAGATGGAAATCCAAAAGGTAACAGTTAATCACATCAGCAGTGGGAATTTTTTCATACATTTACTTCTAATATATATTCTACATATGCGAGAGCTCTAGAAGTTTGGATCATGTTATGAATGCAACAGTATTTGATTAGTACTTGAGTACTGTAAAAGTAAGTTTGTGCTTTGTAATTGTATGAGAAATATTTCTCAGGATTTACAAGCATTAGCATAATGAATTAACTATATCGCAAAAATTGTTAAATGAATCTAACCAGTTTCATCTTATGATTTTACACAGCAATTTTTAACAAGGAAGATGACATTGCAACCTATACCATCAGAGCAGTGGATGATCCAAGAACCTTGAACAAAGTCCTTTACATAAGACCTCCTGGCAACATTTACTCATTAAACGATCTCGTGTCTCTGTGGGAGAAAAAGATTGGCAAAACCCTCGAAAGGGTCTAAGTATCCGAGGAGCAACTTCTGAAAAACATTCAAGGTTAGTGAAAAAAATATCAGACCTCAGATTTCTTTCTTATAAGAATGTCAAAGTTTAACTTTGCTGATGACCTCTCTTACCATATATGTTTGCAGAAGCTCCGGTTCCTGTGAATGTGCTATTATCTATCAACCACTCAGCCTTTGTGAAGGGAGACCATACCAACTTTGAGATTGACCCATCGTTTGGAGTTGAAGCCACAGCGCTTTATCCTGATGTCAAGTACACCACCGTGGATGAGTACCTCAATCAGTTTGTGTGAACCCATCTTTGTTTATCTGCAGGATCTTAATAAATAATGTGGTGGTTGACTGGTTGCTATATATATTATAGGCTTTTATGCTCAGTTTGCTTTCCTGTTTTTCCGTGTATTAAATGTATTTAGCAATAAATAAACTTAAATTCCCAAAGTTCGAGCTTGTGCCTTTTTTTTCACGCTATTACATGTGGTATCTGGAAAAACTTTCTAGGACCCACTAAAATTTGGACCAATGTTTTAAAATCCAATCCGGGTAAAACCCGACAAATTTGTGGGGTTTTAGATTGATCGGTTTGACCGGTGGTCAAACTAATTGACAAAAACTTTTAAAATTCAATGAATACACCCTTAAAAATTACATTATATCCCTATAAGTTTGAAATTTAGTAAACACATCTTAAATACAAATCGGTCAGCGACTGGTTGGCGGCAGTGAGACTCCAGATGCAACCCCAATTGTCCTTTAAGCCCATTCTCCTTGAAATATACTCAAGATCTGGTCGAAATAGGTTTAATTTCGGTCAAATCTCATTGATGTCGGCGTCAGCATTCCAGGCCAGATTTCATCGACACTGGCGTCAACAACCCTCCCCATAACCCAAAAATTACTCTTCTCTTCCTCCCGACCAAAACCCATCTCACCCCACCCCCGTTAGTCTCGCAAATTGCCAGCAAAAGCCGATTGTTGCCGCTACCAGTTTTGTTCAATTTTCGGCCGATTTACTCAATGAAAATCAAAGTCGTTACCACCATTGCATTCATCGACAGTTTCTCTTTAAAAGCCCTAACATCCCGATCGGCAATTATTCACCGATCATTCTCTCAAATCTTAGGGTTTGGGTTAAATAGGAAAAACATAAACCCATCCCGTTGAAGCTTCCGGTCCTGGTTAAACCGGCCGGGCTGGGCAGGTTTTAAAACAATGATTTAGACCTCAAATCGAATAACATCTGAGCCCATAAGCCTAAGTCAACTCACCATCATGCTCACGTCAATATGAACGTGCTGAAGCATAAATCTTCATCAATATTAACGGGAGCCGGTCGCCCTTCACGTGACTCTTCCCACGTCAGCCCTTTATTTTCTTAGGCATAACAGGTTTAGTATCTCATGCTTTACTTCAAGCTAATGATATAATCCTGGTATCAGAAAAATTAACTATTCTGAACCATAATGCATGTAGGGGTTGCTAGAGGATGTGGTTGGCAGAAGATTTGTGTGTATGTAAATCTAGTAGCATATTACCTTGTTGGCCTTCCTTCGGCTATAAGCCTAACATTTTTCTTCCAATATGGAGGAAAGGTAAGAAGTTGAGTTAATATTTGGAAAGCATATGCGTGAGTTGCTGATTCCATTTCCCGGTTCTGCAGGGACTTTGGATGGGAATCATATGTGGGAGTGGCCTACAAGCTCTTTTGCTTTTAATCATTACAATGCGCACAAATTGGAAGGAAGAAGTAAACTAATGCCTTAATCATCTCTTTTATTAGTAGCACATAAATGGTATATCAATATGCATATTGTTTAATTTCCTCTAATTGTTCTTCTGCAAAACTGCTTGTGCCAGGCGAAGAAGGCCAAGAAAAGAGTGTTTGCCTCCACAATTCCAACGGATAAGGCATCATGAAGGCATTAATCTCTACTTGCTCTATTTTGAGCAAGCTACATCCACGTTGAACTCCGGAAAAGGGAAGTTCGCTGCACTACGATTAATAGATTCAATTACTTACAGTCCTAGATTCGAATACGCCCAGAAACCCCAACTCACACACCTCTGATTCAAACCTGCAATCTGACCCTAGGAATACTCTAACCCTGGAATCCCTAGACTAAGAACACTATTGCTCTTTCCTCAAATGATTACACCAAACCACTCAAGATTACACAGATTACACAAGAAATCGGAATCAGAATAACAAGAACCCTAACTGTGTACAAAGAATACAGAACAAACTCTTTTGATGTGAGAAAACCCTCTGTTTTGCGAACGAAGACTTTCTCTTTTATATCGTTGACTTGTAACGAATTCTCATCTGTTGGATTGTCTTTGGATCAAAGGTCAGGATTCATCTTGAAGTTGTCCAGAATGACACTGTTCTAGTAATATCCAGTACGTTGTTGTTTCAAGCATTCACTTCAACAATATCCACCTTGAATGCTTGAACTCACCCTAGTGCAGCAAACCCAAACCAATTCCCTCATAGTTCTAGTCTTCACAGATTACCTCACATGCAGTAAGTTCAAGCAGTGCTTGAACTTTGCAGGAGAGACAATCTTGGTTCCCATGTCTGCTAGATTATCCTTAGTAGATACTTTCTTTAGATCGATTACTCCTTGAGTAACTAAGTCTCTGACAAAATGGAAGCGGAGATCTACATGCTTTGTATGCTCATGATAAACTGGGTTCTTGCTCAAATGAATTGCGCTTTGGCTATCTGAATATATGGTTACCTTTCCCTCTGTCAGCTTTGCTTCAGCTAACAATCCTTGCAGCCATAAGGCTTCCTTAAACACATCGGCAATGTCAATATATTCTGCTTCAGTCGATGAGAGGGCTACAATAGGCTGAAGCTGAGACTTCCAGCTTATACAATTTCCTCCAAGAGTGAAGTAATATGAAGTGGTGGATTTTCTTGTATCTTTGTCACCTGCAAAGTCAGAGTCTACAAAACCAACCAAGTCAAGTGTAGCATGCCTATTACAGAAATCTAATCCAACATTCAAAGAACCATTAATATACCTCAATACCCACTTTAAAGCAGCCTAGTGCTCACTTCCTGGATTAGCCATAAATCGGCTCAGTAGGGAGATGGCAAATGACAGCTCTGGTCTGGTGTTGATCATTACATACATCACAGATCCAACAACATTCACATAGGGGACATATTCCATTTTTATTAATTCAGTTTCAGTTTTAGGGCATTGACCTTTCTTTAACACAAAATGGTTTGCAAGAGGCATAGGCACCAGTTTTGAGTCTGCCATACCAAACTTAGACACCAGTTTTTCCAAGTATGATTGTTGCCTAATTTTTAGTTCATGTTTGCTCTTGTTTCTAGTAATGTCCATTCCTAGGATTCTTTTTGCATTTCCTAGATCCTTCATGTCAAATTCTGACTTAAGCTTTCCCTTTAGCTCAATTATTTTTGACTTGGACTTACTCACCAGCAACATATCATCCACATACAGTAAGAGATAAACAGGCAGGTCCTTATTCAAATTAAAATAAAAGCAACTGTCATATCTACTCCTAGTGAACCCTATGCTTAGAATAAAGGTGTCAAACCTCTTGCATCACTGCATAGGGGACTATTTAGTCCATACAGTGATTTGTGCAAGATGCATGCATGATCATGGGCTTTATAGTCTACAAAACCTATGGGTTGGCACATGTAAATTTCCTTTTCTAAGTTACCATGTAAGAAGGCAGTGGTTACGTCCATTTGTTCTAACTCAAGGTTGTAATGGGCAACTATGGAGAGCATTAGCCTAATGGTCTTGTACTTGACTACCGGGGAAAAGACTTCATTGAAGTCTATTCCCTACCATTGGGTATACCCCTTAGAAACTAACCTAGCTTTGTACCTAGGTGGGTCAGTAGCTAAAATACCCTCTTTTATTTTAAACAACCATTTACATTGGATCAGTTTCTGGTCCTTTGGTTTGGGGACCAAGGACCAGGTTTTGTTTACCTCAAGTGATCTCATTTCCTCTTCCATTGCTGCCTTCCACTTTTCCTTTTCCTTGGACTTCATTGCTTTTTCATATGAGTCTGGTTCTATTCTTTGAACCTCTGTACCTGCAAGCAAGGTAGTGTATATTAGTTCAGCATAAGAGAATCTAGCAAGGGGTCTTACCTCTCTTCTGATTCTGTCCCTTGCAAGTTGGTAGTGCTCCAGTTGGGCATGTTGTGGCTCTGATGCATCTACTACAGCTTCTTCCTCTTCAGGTGCTAGACCATCAGATCCTTGTTGGATTTCTAGTGCCTGTTCATCATCAGATTGAGGTGGTCCAGCCTGCTGACCCATAGGCTCCACCCCAATTGAAGTGGTCTCTATTGAGTGGTTTATTTGATCAGGTAAAGTGTGGTTCCCTGTGTCTTGGTTTGTGGATTTGCAAGGGAACACCCCTTCATTAAACACTACATCCCTTGAAATGATGATTTTTACCCCTGGTGAGTCTTTGTCCCAGAGTCTATATCCCTTGGTCCCCTCTTGGTATCCTAGGAATATACACCTAGTGGACCTTGGATCTAGTTTTCCCCCTACTGTGTGTGCATAGGTTGCACACCCAAATACTCTCAAGTGATTTAAACTAGGCTTTCTACCATACCACACTTCTTCAGGGCATCTAAAGTTTATGGTTGTAAAGGGACTTCTGTTTATCAAGTAGGCTGCTGTGGATAGAAGCTCTCCCTAAAAAGTGTTAGGTAATCCTGAGGTGAATAGCAAACATCTGACTTTTTCTAGGAGAGTCCTGTTTATTCTCTCAACTATCCCATTCTACTAAGAAGTTGTCCTTACTATTCTATGTCTTAGAATTCCTTGCTCATTGTAGAATTTATCAAATTCAGTGTTGCAGTACTCTAATCCATTGTCAGTCCTTAGAGCTTTTACTTTCCTGTCTAGTTGGTTTTCTATTAGGGATTTCCACTCTTTAAACTTGGACAGGGCTTGATCCTTAGTTCTTAGGGGGTAAGTCCACACTTTTCTACTGAAATCATCCACAATTAACATAAAGTAACTGCTACCCCCATGTGACCTCACTCTCTCAGGCCCCCACAGATCATAATGTATATACTCTAGGTATCCTTTGGCCAGGTGAGTACCTTTTTGGAAACTAACTCTGTGTTGTTTGCCTAGGACACAGTTCTCACAGAACTCCAGGGTTGATACAGTCTCTTTTCCTAACATACCCAGGTTGCTTATGATATCTAACCCTATTTGGCTCATATGACCCATCCTAAGGTGCCATTTTTAAGTAACTAATAGGTTTAAGGTGACTAAGGCTGTATTTAAGCAATCAGAACAATACTCCCCACAAAGTATATATAACCCATTCCTTTTTTCTCCTTTCAGAATTTGGTTTTGGTTCCTATACACATTCAGCCACCCATTTTTGGCACTATAACAACACCCTGCCTCATCTAGG